AACGCGCTGGTGGAAGGAGAAGCGAGGCGGCGGATCTTGCAGGGTAAGCTAATACGTATTTTAAGGTGAATTTATGAGGTTTACTTGTAATTTTACGATACGCGAGTTTTACGAAAATTTTGAAAAATGTAAAAATAATAGTAATTACGAAACATTTTAATTCTGATATTTTGTAGAAAAATTAATCTAAAGAACACGATGGAAAAAGAATAGATTGAAAAATAGGGCAAGCATTTTTATAATACAAAATAGGAAAAGGGATAATCTTAACTCAATATTTCCATAAGAACAATTTGAATACATACAGCGTACTTATCAAAACTACACATAAATAATTTAATATAATAATTGTATTTTAATCTATAATGATACATCAATGAATAAACCAATGAATCAATGAATATTCATCAATTTTATTCATTTTTAAAATTTCCGCCTCTTTTAATTAATTATTTCGTGGCAGTAATCTCTTTATTCGTTTTATATGATATAATATTTAAAAGGAAGCCGTGTGAATTTGCTTTTAGACCACCATTTCATCCTCACTTTTCTCATAGAAGGATATTCTGGCGTGCTAGCGCACTCAAGAAATGCGTGTTCGAAATTCTTGCGCCAGACTCCAGCAACTCCCTTCATCCGTCAGGGATGAGAGAACTGCTGAAGGTTCGTGGCGGCACGCGGGGAAGAGTATTTCGCGAATTCGCGAAATCGAAGCTTCGTCGAGCTCACGATCATCGTTACGCGCAGTGCTATTTCTCGCACACCTACGCCGATAAATTCTTCCGATAATTCACCAGGTTCTCCTCCCTCAAGCAAACTTCCTGCTGTTTGACGGAATGAATATAAATGAATAATTACAGCAGCGTAAAAGATATTAATTTCTCTTATCATTCTCCATTTAACTTATATAACTGTCGTTAAAAAGACATAATAGTTACACTGTACGTCGAAAACTGCAATTATTAAAAATGAAAGAGATATACCAATATATATATTATTATATATTAATATTCGTAATTTTTGCATCGAAATAGAAAATCAAAAAGAAACAATTTTGGTATAAATAAATGTTGTAATAAAAAGGATTGTACTAGAATCTTTGATAGACATATTTATAGAGATGTAAAGTCGTGTCCTTCTAATTGAGAAAATAATGGAGACAATATCCAAAAATATTTTTATGCATGTTATTTTTGACAACTCTAGAATTTAGATTCTTTTTCGTGTTGAAAATCGACCAGGAGGTAAAGGATAGTGCATCGATTAGATGATCTAATAGCCAATACGCTACTGGCTCTCCTCTCAACACTTTAATCCATCAGCTCCGAGCATGAATAAGTGCGATCGAATTTTCGCAATATTATCGACGACGTGCAACCCTCTGCGAACCGCTTCAATAATGAATACCCAAACGCGAAAGCCGCGCGTGCATTAACGACGTGCACAACGGACTAAACGCGAAAACCGCCATTTCCTCAGCGGCGTATTACCGATGCAGTAGACTATATATATCTCGAACCACCGGCGTTAATGCGCCATAGGCTAATCGATGTTTCTCTCACGGCTAGGACGACACCTCGAAGAGCAGCTCGGCGGCAAACGAGCTGGGCCTGGCGAATGTCGGCGGTGTTTTGTGGTGCTGATGGGCGGCATGGGTGTCGCCTGCGTGATTGCGGTCTGCGAATTCGTATGGAAGAGCCGAAAAGTAGCCATCGAGGAGCGGGTGAGTGGTGCGAAATAACACGCGGAGGAAGGTCACGCGGTAATAATCACGCCGGAAATCATCTCGTCGGGATCCGGCGCCGCCACGCGGCTCGATCCCGACGCGATCTATCCCGACATACCGCGCGAATACATCAGTTGATGCTCGCATGACGGTGGAGTTCCTCTCTAATGGTCTCGATACAGAACCACTCGGGTCTGATCGCACGCTGACGGCTCGGGATCACCCTTGGCGATCATCGTTGGCGAGAATGACGAAAATTATGTTCTCGTATCCCTCTACGCGCGTATAATTTTTCTCATCTTTTTTTTCTACTGTATAACCATAAGCCTTCGCTTCTATTCGTCATTATTCTCATTGTTTCGCTGTGCGCGAATATCGTCGTTAGTCGGATAAACAAGGATACTCGTTACTGAGAACATTGCTGCTCCGAGCTTCCACGCTGAAGAAATGTCTGAAATATTTACGGCTTGCGAGAAATCTAGATAATTCAAGCTCAAGTTTTTTATGTCCAAAAACAAAGAAAGTAAGGAAGATTGCTAGAAATTTATTTGATAAAATTAACTATTAACATTTGAGTGGGTTAATTGCTGCGATTCTTTTCTTTCAAAAATTTATCTTCATAAATTCTAAGGTTTGAAACCATTCGATTTGAATTTTTATTTTTAAATGCATTTTTTATTTTAATGTCAAAGAGTTACGCTGATTATTCCAATTCCACATGATATTAATGCATTCACTTGCACAAGCGAATAGAAGACCATGCTCACTAGCCTTACACGAGAGTGTTGTAATTACTAGAGAGACAGAATATAAAGAGAGAGAGAGAGAGAGAGAGAGA